CGAGAGGGCTCGGTTCCGACCCCTGCTCGGTCCCGACCCCTACTCGGCCCACGGCCCAGCCAGTGAATCTCCCGCCTGCGATCAACGATCCCTCGGGCCCTGCAACGCTGAATTAGGGACGGCTATAGAGGTTCTGGAATCATCTTCACGGCTATAAGTAGCAGTGAGATCCAACTCTGAAGGGGAGGTGACTGATCCTTAGCTAACTATTTTCTCAACTCTCCCTCGCTAACTTAAGCATCGGAGCCCATGTGACTGAGGTCACACAGGTTTAGATCGGTTTGATTTTGCAGGTGTTGGTTCTCTTATCATCGAGTTTGGTGTGTGCGAGAAGAAGAGCCGGAGGGTCAAAATCCACACATCAACACCTTTCATTGCCAATTGGTTTTGAGATGGAACCCCATGAACATTAATATGGTATCAGAGCCCAAAAGCTCAAATGAGCATCCGGTCCAAAAAAATGGGATGCGGTCAGGATCACACATTGAAAAGAGAGGGGACCTAACATAGGTTTATAATAGACATGAGCTACTCCTCTTGGCAATTGATTTTGATATGGAACTTTTAAAAAAGATTAGGAAAAGAAATTATATTTTTTAAGGAAAGAAATGTTTGGATTTTTATGTTTAGATTTTAAGAGATTTTTATTCCACTTTTAAAATCTAAGAACAAAGTTAAAAAAAAAAAAACAAAATTGAACGCAAACTTTTTTTAAAGAAAAAGGAAATAACAGAGTTTGATTTGATTTTGTTTTATGTTTTAAAAATATTTTTCTAATGCAAAATAAATAATTTTCTTTTTATAAATAAACGAATTTATTTTTTGTTTTTTTTAAATAAATCTCTTTTAAAAATGAATAGAAGATTTTCGTTTCAAATTTTATTTGATTTAGTGAAAACTAAAGTTTAAAGGAAAAAATTTATTTTAAAGGAAAGTTTAAAAACAAGGTTTTAGGAAAGTAAATGAAGTATTAAAAGGAAAGTTTATATTTTAAAGTTAACAAATATCAAATCTTCGTTTTGAAAGATTTGTTATTTAAGTTTTGAAAATTTTGAATAAGATATTTTATAAATAAGTTTGGTTATATACATAAAGATTTTTTTTTAATAAAACAATTTTAAAAAGACAAAGCAGCGTAGCTCAACGGTAATTGACATATAAAAAAAACTTAAGTTGTATCCTAATGTGGTGACACATTCGCGAAGCACTTGATATTAATATTTGTGGTCCAAGTTTGAGTCGTTGCGTGCCTCAATGACGAAAATTGGAACTTTCCAATATTCTCGAGGTGATAAAATTTTTCTAATGAGTTTCGTGCCATTTATACCTATTAATTCATATCTTATAACAAATTGTGAATTAATATAACGTGAGACATTTCAATCAAAATACAAAAATATTTTTTTTTGGACCAAATAAAAATAATAGAATAATTTTTTCACAAAATATGGTACCGT